AATTAAATAAAAAAAAAGAAGATATTTGAATGAAGAAATGAGTGATTGAATGAATTGATTCATTCATAATCAAAAGCATCTTTTGCTTAACAAATTAACCACTTATTTACTTCTTTACTTCCTTTCATATTTTACAACTTCAACTAACAAACTTAATCAAATAAATATTTAACAAAATTACCATAGATTGAGATTCAAAGAAGTGATATTTTGACACTTTTCTAAGCTCATTGCAATATGTTTTGCTCCTTCTGCACCAATGTTGTTATCCCTTCAAAAATATTATTAAAATATGTTTTTTTGTTTGTTTGAATTTGTTTTGAAAATCATAATAAAATAAATTGAAAATTAAAATAAATAAGTAGCTGGATGAGTATGTATGTAAGTAATTAATTAATTAAATAATTAAATAAAAAAAAAGAAGATATTTGAATGAAGAAATGAGTGATTGAATGAATTGATTCATTCATAATCAAAAGCATCTTTTGCTTAACAAATTAACCACTTATTTACTTCTTTACTTCCTTTCATATTTTACAACTTCAACTAACAAACTTAATCAAATAAATATTTAACAAAATTACTCAAGATTGAGATTCAAAGAAGTGATATTTTGACACTTTTCTAAGCTCATTGCAATATGTTTTGCTCCTTCTGCACCAATTTCATTTCCCCTTCAAAAATATTATTAAAATATGTTTTTTTGTTTGTTTTAATTTGTTTTGAAAATCATAATAAAATAAATTGAAAATTAAAATAAGTAAGTAGCTGGATGAGTATGTATGTAAGTAATTAATTAATTAAATAATTAAATAAAAAAAAAGAAGATATTTGAATGAAGAAATGAGTGATTGAATGAATTGATTCATTCATAATCAAAAGCATCTTTTGCTTAACAAATTAACCACTTATTTACTTCTTTACTTCCTTTCATATTTTACAACTTCAACTAACAAACTTAATCAAATAAATATTTAACAAAATTACCTAACATTGAGATTCAAAGAAGTGATATTTTGACACTTTTCTAAGCTCATTGCAATATGTT